ATAAACAGAAACAGATACTATATACCATTTTGCATCTGGTTTCTTTCATGTGACATAATGACTGTGAAAATATTCTCACTTTGTGTGTAACAGTAATCTCTTTTTCATTGCTTTGAAGTAACCCACTGTTTGACTATACCACAATTTATGCATCCATTCTACCACTGACAGACATTTAGACTGTTCCCAACTTGGACTACTATAAATCAAGCTGGAATGAATATTCTTGCTCATATATTTTATTGAACATAAGCACTCATTTTGTTGAATATATGCCCAGGAGTGGATGAGTGCATCATAGGCACATGTATGTTTAGCATATGGTAGATAGGGCCAGTTTCCAAAGTGATCTTTTCAACTTAAACCCCTACCAGCACTGTGTGAGAGTAGATACTCCATATCCTTATCTACACTTGGTATTTTCAGTTAATTTTAGCCACTGTGATGAAGGTAGAGTACTAGCTTATTGTGGCTTTAATTGCATTTTGCTACTGAATAATGATGATGAGTGTTTTTCCATATGAATTGGCCAGTGGCATTGTAAATGTGTTATTAACAACCACCATCTGGGGAAAAATATATACATAAAGTGTATTATAAATTTTACTATATACAGTGCATGTAACAACAATAAAAAGTACATAATAGTCTTTAATTTGGAATTCCACAAAGCCAATTGATTTTCACAGAATGCATTCACTGATTTTTTGCTGAACTCTTATACATGTAACCAAACTGGGGTCACAGTTGACAAAGGAGTGTAGTTTCTATACGATTGTGGGTTGACATTTCGGTTTACATTAACAAGTAAGACAAAAGTGAAGCAATGAAGATGTATGTTGGAGTTCTACTCATTTGTCAATGACTAGGGCAATTTCTTTGCTGCAATAGATCACAGTTTTAAAATTCTAGAAGAAAATTTCCTCAATTTTTTTGTGCGTTCTTTAAAATACAATGGCTATAGACATTGCAACACTCAATTTTAATCTCTATTATTATTTTTCTCCACTACTTTCTTAAGTCTAGACTGTCAAGAAAACAATCAATCCCTGACTTGAGCATCTGCTGTCTTCCTTGATGTAAATACCCCCACAGTCCATTTCAAGCTACCAACATGACATCACTGAACAGAGTTGGGAAGAGAAGTACAGTAGCTCACCACTATGTAGTGTTTCCACCATACAGACACAACAGACAAATGGGCTCAAGAGCACAGACAATAATAAAATGTAGTAAGATAATGAGGACTGATGAGTTTTGCCATATGTATTACCTTTGTTTTTAATATAATTTACTTTATTGAAAGCTTATGTAATTTGATTTTAAGCAATGACATATTTAGCAGTTAGCTCACCAAATTCATGAACATTTCAAAGTTGGTGCTTCTGAGACAGTACGGGCAGAGCCTAGAACCCGATGCTTACTGGCCATTTGGATACCCTTTACCTTGAAATGCCTGGGTTTTTTTGTGATTTTCTAAAATCGAATTGTTCCGTTGATTTGTAGAAGTTCTTTATAGTTTCTAGATATGAGGCCTTTATCCAATATATATTGCCAAAATCATTCTTAAGCATAGGTCCCACTTTTTCAGAGAGAACTTGTCAAACCCAGTATTTTATGTGGTTAAATATGGCCTGAAGAGGGATATGGACATCTAAAGATTATCATGAGCCCCTGGACTCAAGCCACATACTGCTTATGTCACATGGGAAAACTTTTCAAAGAAGGTTCATCATTAATTGTGGCATGTTTCAGTATTTTACTAGCATATAAATGACCTACTCTAGTGGTTACCAACCACCCCACCTACAGTGGGAGTACCTGTAAATAGAGAATCATATTTTCTTGAGATTGTAAAGGAATTTAAAGACCCAGTACTTTGTCCCTTTTGCCTCACCATCACACGTTGAATGCATAATCCATGTAGCATCCTTTCCACCAAAGTGCTACAATCTGTGCATTCATTTAAGAATTGGTGAATTATAGGGCGCCTGGGTGGCTCAGTTGGTTAAGCAACTGCCTTCAGCTCAGGTCGTGATCCTGGAGTCCCAGGATCGAGTCCCACATTGGGCTCCCTGCCCAGTGGGGAGTCTGTTTCTCCCTCTGACCCTCTCCCTCTCATGCTCTCTCTCACTCTCTCAAATAAATAAATAAAATCTTAAAATAAAATAAAATCTCAAATAAATAAATAAAATCTTAAAAATAAAAAATAAAATAAATAAAATCTTAAAAAAAAGAATTGGTGAATTATAAACAATTTTATTCTAATAATCGTTTTAATCTAAGAATCGTTGCAACAATGACAGGCAGTAATAAAAACCAGGGACAGAAGACAATGAAATTTAAATCCAAGTTACCGAATTAAGGTGATGACCCAGCATCTCCTTTTTGTTCCACTGGTTTATACTGACTCCCTTCACCCCAGGCAAGTCTTCTAATACTTTGGGATTTCCCTATTCTTACTTTTCTTCTTTCCCCAAATTTACCTTGTTTCACGGTCCTCTCCAAACTATCTTAACACCTGGGTGACAGTACAAATGCGTTAATGCACTACTCCATCGAAAGTAATAGAATTCATATTAACCAGGAGCTGCTAGAAACAATGCCCAAACCAATGCCCATTGGATAAACAACAATGAGGAGTAACTCAGACACCAGAGGGGAACTAATTTTGGTTATATCTCAATCTACAGAATGGTGGCTCTCAACCTTAACTGCACCTGGGAGTTTTATAAATTTCAGTCAGTGTCCAGGCCATGTTCCAAACCAAATAAATGAGGATCTCTGAGTGTGGGACCCAGCATCAATGCACAGCCAAGTTTAAGAGGAACCCCAGGTTGAGAAATACTGATATAAAACAGCATCTTCATCTATAAATCAAGGTCATTCATTCTACACAGCCCTGAGTACAAGTATACATCTGCTTTCTACCTCTGTGATGAAGCACTACCTATTAATCAAAGATAGGTTAGATCATCCTTTTCTTCCCTGGGCTACATAATCTTAGCTCTTCTGTCTTTTCTGTCTTAAGTATTCCTCAGTCAGGCTCCTATGCCAATTCTCAATTCATTGTCATGTTCTAGCATAAAAATTCATTTTATATGAAAGGGAAGATATCAGTCTCTACTAAATTGGAGCAGGATGCAATTCATACATGTGTATTTACAAAATATAATTTGATATGTGGCCATATTTAATCGGCCTGCAAGCCATTTAAAAACTTTTTCTTGACATTGTGTGTTACATATCAAAAAGTGCGAAGCAACATGTCAGAGCTCACAAAAGTGTTAACCTAGGATTGAAGCAGAATTAATGTACCTCAGAGGTAAGTGACAGCAAATCAGTGGAGAGAGGGTTTCCCTCCCATAGCCCACACCTCTCCAGAAGAAGGAAGTACATTTCCATGATTTCCAGAAGCAATTTCCAAAATTAAAAAAAAATAAATTAATTTTAAAAATGAATTGTGCTTTTTAAAAAAAACATTTATACTTGTAAATCAAAGTCTTAGATTCAGAACCAAAGATCAAAGTCAAGTACAAATGATATTCTAAATGTGCAGAGGAGGTTCTAGATCCTCTCAGTTCTTTCTGACTAAAAGAAAAGAGTAAAAAGTAGAAAGTAAAATCTTACAGGCCTTAACAGAGGGATATAATGAAGGGCATGGCACAGGACAGGTTGAAACACGCATTTTTAAAATCTGTAGAGTAGTACACCAGGTGTCACCTTTTTTATTTATTTTGCTAATTAGTTTCAGTGTTAATACTTTATAACATATTTGGGTTATTATTAACATGAGGATTAAGCAATATGTGGGAGGACCCTATTTCAGAAAACAAATATTTTACAATCTCAGTCACTGAAAATTTAAAACTACACAAATTCCATTTTTCTACTACAAAATTAATGTCTTAAACTAAACCTACTTTAAAACAGACACACCATTTGGGAAAACTTCTTTGACTACAAAGACATTCTGGTCTCAAACACTGGCATGATATTTACAGTTCACAATACCATGTACAAATATATGAGTTTGTACTTAAACCCCATTCTCTCCCTTCATAAGCACAGTCGGAAGTGCATTTGGAACCTATGGTTCAGGAGATAGAAAGATGGCTTATAATCCCACAATTCAAGTATATTTCATTTTCATTTGTGAATACAGCAAATGTCTCCTACTAGGAAAGTGTTCCTAAGGATTAGCACTTCATTCACTGATTCACTCACTCATTCGCTCAGCCAGCATTTATTGAGTACCTGCTAAGTGCCAGGTTTGGATGATGTGCAAATGGACAGGATCACTGACCTCTCCTAGTCCCCTAGTCTGACTCACTATGTTTCGGCCAAGGATGGCGAGCTACTGAAATGCCCTTTCACTTTCTTGGTGTTTTTTATGAGGATGAGGATGAGGAAAGTGCTGCTATTTTCCATGTTCAGTAAACAGACAGGTGGCTGTTCTAAGAACCAGCTTTAGACAAAATAGTTTGCACTAGCAATTATAGGAAAGGTGTCAACACAACTAGCTTGTACAGGTGTTTTTATTTTTTTAAAGATTTTATTTATTTATTTGACAGAGAGAGAGAGAGAGAGATCATGAGCACAAGCAGGGGGAGAAGCACACAAAGGGAGAGGGAGAAGCAGGCTCCCCACTGAGCGGGGAGCCAGATGCTGGACTTGATCCCAGAACCTGGAAATCATGACCTGAGCCAAAGGCAGATGCTTAACTGACTGAGCCACCCAGGCATCCCCATGTATTTTCTTTTTTAAATTTAATATGGACTTTCTGATAAAGCTTTTTTTTTTATTGTTATCATTTACTTAATAAAGGGTATCGCCCCATTTTTGCAGTTTCTACTCTAACATTCTGCTCTGTCAAGTAAAGAATGTGGTGTGATGCAACGCCTGTGTTTGTTGCCAATGACAACCATTGTTTTCTTGATTAGGTTTCATGTGGTTGGTCAGGTTATGTCATGAGAATTACATTAAGAAGAGTTATGGGTTTGTTGAGTGCGAGCTCTGAGCAGTAAGAACAGTGGGAGGATAGCAGTGTTTCTTTTGGCAGGAGATCAGAAATGCAGACTCCTGGGCACTCTGCATGTACCTTTCCACATCATGTGGCCTCCCTTTCCCCCACCCTGGCATCTGCTTTCTCGCCTCTGGAAAAGCGTACATGTGGAAAGCACCACCCGCCAATTCTCTTTCGCAGTTCTTCGCATTTCTGGGACTTCAAGAAATCTTGAACCACAATCTCCTTCTCTCAAGATAGGTAACTGGGCACAGCTTCAATCAACTGTAATTTTCAACAGATCCCGAACCAGGACTTGGAGAGGTAAGGTGGTTATTGAATTGAATTATAATAAATTCAGGCTGCGATCCAATTTGCTTACAGCTCTTCTCCCTCTGTGGGTTAACAAGTATTTCCAAAGCCATAGGGCATTAAGAATCCTGAAGCGGCTACTTAACAGTGCTGATCCACATCATATGTAGCATGTGGGTTTCAGGCAGCTGCAAAAGCTCAGCTTCCTCAGGCTATCCGAATGACGACGAAGCTCTTAGAATTATATTTTGACATTCTGCTCCCTGCCTGTGGCTGAAAATAACCTTCTCAACAGGCACTTTAGGCCAGGATAGTACTCTGGGCATAAAAAAGTCTCATTGCCATGACTCTGAAAAAGTAAATGAACATTTCCTCATGTCCAGACTGTGACTCACAACTGGCCCGTTAATGGACAAAGGAGGCCTGAGGCATTCTCTTGACACATCATCCAACCAAATAAAATACGGCATTGGTGAGATGTTGACTTTCATAGCTTTTGATCAGTTACCTTCTAAAAGACAGATAAAACCTAGGTGAAGGAGGTTCCTGATACCCCTTTTCAACTTTTTCTATTTCCTACCTATTTAAAGATTTCTTCAAGGGAAATAGAAGACCCGTCTACTACAGGTAAATAAACAAAATCAATAATAAAAAGGGTACCATTTTTCCAAAAACCTTGGACAAGTTGAGAGGAATCTGTTATATCTTACATATATCTGAGTAGAAGTTGTGTGTTTTATTAATAAAATAGCCTGTCACACTGACACAGAAAAGCCTTATCTCTTGCCTCCAGCCCATAATCCATCGTCCAGGGTGTTATCAAAAATGTCTTTCTGAAACATCTGATCCCCCTACTTGAATAACCTTGATTTTTTTTTTCTGTTTCATGGTAGATATCATGCACATGGTCTTTAAAGGCTTTTACTACCAGACTCACATCTTTGCTACTTCATCTGAGGGTACCAGGGAGAGTACTATGTATTCTAAGGCTGTAGCTACAAAAATTTACCCAACATGCCATGGCTTTTCTGGTCTGTTACCCCACCCACATAATCCCTTGCTAAATTCTTTGTTCTTTTTAAGGGTATGTCTTAAATGTTACTTCTTTGGAAATCCTTCCTTCTCCTACCAGAGAGTAAGAATCACACTTGTTATCCCTTCTATTCATTCCTTTATCATCCATATTACAAGGACAATGTCTGGCTCTTACCTTTTTAAATTTTTTTCCAGTAGGCTCTGTGCCCAACATGGGGCTTGAACTCACAACCCTGAGATCAAGAGATACATGCTCTACTCACTAAGCCAGCCCGCCATGCAGCTTACCTTCTTATACTGTCCCTAGGATATAGACGGAGGATGATAAATGGCTTGTGGAAGAAAGAGATAAGTGGATGCATGGTTGAAATTTGGCCATTGAACTAGACCATACCTAAAGGTTCTTTTAAGTCTACAACTCATTTTCTATAATTTATATTTAATGAAGAGGTTTTGAAGTGATTACTAGGAAATACATCTGTTAGTAACTGACATTAATAGTCAGTGACATTTGAAATTACAAGTGAAATTACAAAGTGAGATTCACTCTGGCATATAGTATCTCTCTTTTATCAAGAGGCTTTACAACATGGGATGGAAGCTCCACAGCCTGAAATATAAAAGCTGGGTCTATAAGCAGCTAAAATTTGGTGTGATGGTTAAAAAATTAGATGTTCTTCTTAAAGATGCATATCTAAAGCCAAAAGCTATGAATAATACTAATACACTGAATGCCACAATTCAGGTAAGAAATTATCCATCAATGCTAAAAATGGGCTGAAAATAAGAGCATAATAGGAGCAAGGCAGAGCACAATACTTGCTTAAAATAATAAGGTATATATAAGACCCAATAACCTCACCAATAGAAAAATGGGCAAATAAGTTCTAGCAGGGTACATTCATAACATGGTTATTATGGAGGAGTTAAAAACGATGACTTGGAAGAATGTTTAATGATTTGGCAAAAATGTTCCTGGTACAATGTTTTTTTCAAGAGGAAAAAGGTTTGAAAAGATCTAATCAAAGACTATTTGCAACAGGGTTAGAGGCTTCTTCATAGAGAGCTCTTGCTACAGGAGCAGAAGTTGGGCACCAGAAACTCAGCCCAGTAACAAAGCCTCAGCTATTAAGTGGGAGAACCATTCTGAAAGGAACATGGTGGCTGTTACTTGAATTCATTTCCAGAGATGAATCTTCAGGTTGTAGGTACAGCAGAGAGCTATAAGGAAAGAGATATTGGGGAAAAAAAAAAAAAAAACAAACAGTGGGGGGGGAGGTGGGGATGATAGTGGTACCTGGCTGGCTTGGTCGGTGGAGCACTAGACTCTTGATCTCAGGGTTTTGAGTTCGAGCCCCTCGCTGGGTGGAGAGATGACATAAAAATAAAATCCTTTTTAAAAAGGAGATGTTGCATATAATTTTGTACAATATTAGGAACAGAGGGAGAAAGTTAAATGTCAGTGGGGCAGGTGCAAAGTAGAAGCACGGCCTTGTGGGGTCTGCCTGACTCCCTAGGTAGCAGGGGTTCCTATAAAGGAACTTTTGAAACACCCTTGGGTACTCCCAGAAATAATTAGTTGGATTGTATAGGAAAAGCACCTCAGCAAACATGGGCAAAAGCTAATGAAATTTAAATTATTAAAGTTAACATAACCTCATTTGTTGTCACAGGTTGGTAAGGTCTGGTAACATTTAAGGTAAAGATTCTTCTTAAAAATCTGGGGTGCCTGGCTAGCTCAGTCAGTAGAGTGTGTGACTCTTGAGCTCCGGGTTGTGAGTTTGAGCCCCATGTTGGATGTAAAAATTACTTAAAAATAAAATCTTTAAAAAATTATATGGGAATAGAAGATTTATAATGCTCATTTATCATAAGTTTGTAGTAAGTAGTGATGTAGGTTTTGTAAAAAGAAAATAAAGGGGAAAAGCAACAAAACAAAATCCAAAATAAACCCACTGTAATTTTAGACCTCTCTGACCTCAACAGTAAAAATACTGTCTCACAGGAGACAGTGAGTTCACTGTTCTCTGAGCTTGGTGAGGGGTTGCCTGACGCAGATAGCCACAGTTCTAATAGGAGCAGGGATGTTGAGGAGTCTAGAAGGATTGCGTGAGAGAAAGGTTCCAAAACGGGGAAGCTGAACCTAAAGAAGAACACTAAGAGTGGGCATGCCAGTTGTTCCAAATAGTGAAGGTCATTTCAAGGAAGAAAAATTAGCAGAAATCTCTTACTCAGAATTAAGAGCCAGAGGTGGGCAGCATAAAGAGGCAGACAAACAGCTCCTTATAAAGACTGGTTTCTAAATGACTGGAGCCATCTCATGACACATCAGGCTTCCTTGAAAGGCAATATGTATTAGGTCATTCTATGTTCCCAGGAAAAAGCTATCTGATGCCTGATCAAGGCAGTCTCTGTGCTGGTAAGTGATTAGGCTTAATGACATCCATGTTCCTTCCAGTGCTAAAGAGTCAAGGTTCTCTGGGTTTTGTCTCCTGAAAACAGTATTACTTGGAATTATTGTAATTTGGGGGCTCCTTTAAAGCCACACTGTATATTTAATTGGTCATTGTATTTTAAACTTTATACAGGTGTAAATCTCCTCTAGGGAGTAAAAAATATACCCAAAATGGATATAAGTGACATTTTAAAATGGGAATCCTTGATTTGGTTCCATGATTGTTTTGGATCCCAAGAGGTCTTCATATTTAGAGTCTGCCCTTTTACCTGGTCATTCAGGATTCTGCAAAACAGGAGTTTGGGGCCAGCATTCTTCTAGGAGCAGAATGAGATCCAGGTAAAATGTTACCTAACGCTGAAGTGATGTTGCTCTGAGCTCAGAGTACACAGAACTGCAACCCTGAAAACAATCCTGTGCCTTGTGAGCTAATGTGATTATTCCATTCAGTGTGATCAATGTAAATTAAAAGGCAGGAAGAGTTCTTTTTGTATTTTTTGTTCACTCGGTGAGAGTACCACTGGGGGTTCCGGGAGGGAGGAACTGACTCATCCTTTCTGTCTACTTTATGCCAGACCTGGGATGTGGGCACATGGGGCGTCATGGCACCCTCATGAGAAGTGTGCAGGCATGGGATCTCTGTGCTCCAGATGAGGACACGGGGGTTCACAGGCAATGGTGGTTCAGTCAAATGTGGTGCTTGGATTAAAATACAGCTGTGGTCAATCAAAGCTTGTCTGCCTTCAAATGATTAAACACAGCAAAAGAATGATAATAATGCTAAAGAATATTTTAAAATATTATATTTCAATTATTATAGAAAGAAGTCACTCCACTGCATTTTGGAACTGTTAAAGTGGCCCTGAATTAAGATTAAAATGGAAGAGTCAAGGCAGAATGCATTATTTTACCCATTTCCCAATATTCGAGACTGTATGAAAAGAAAACCTTAAAAAAAACAGCCCTCCAAGATTGAAAATAAGAGCAGATAAGCAATTTCCCAGTAAAGAAAGAGTGCTCCCAAATCATTGTAGAGTGTGTGGAAATTTCAAAGGGTAGTGAAAATGCACTCTGATGCCCAAAGTGAATAACAGGATGTGTGACTAAAGCTGCTGACCTACGACCAGCTATCTCACCTCAGAACCCAGGAGCCGCTGACGTTACTTTTCGTTTTCTTTCTCTTTCCTCTTCCTCTCTTTGTCCTGGTTTTTCATTCCACCCTCTGCCTTGATTCTGTTTCCTCTTCTTCCATACTCTTACCATCCTCCTTTATCTTTCCTTTAATTACCCTAATATGAATGTCAAATAGTTGAAAATTTATTATATATCATGAAAAATTTCTGTCGACTACCACTCTCCAGGTTCAACCCAGGCAGGTACAATGTGTTTCTTTCTCTGATAGTTTTACTTTTATTGTGTTTTACATCAATCCTTCTGAGCTACCCTCCACGCTAACCCCCACCCCTGCCACAATGTGTGCGTGTGGTAGGGACAAGGAGGCCAAAGGGCAATGTCACTAACT